TTTCCGTATACAAACCGACAAAATACTGGCGCATAATACACCAGACATCACACTGGTTGAGAAAAATAAGGTCACGCATATTACGAAAATACGTTACGACGTCCTAGGCCCCTGGATGGGGCCCGACTAGTAACCAATGCCAAATCCGGCGAAACAACTGGCCGCTGTGATACAATTGTATAATAATAATCATACATAATGGCAGGTTAAAATACTGTGACATTTCCAAATACAAGCTGATAAAGTCTTGGCTCACAATACATGAGATTTAACTGTGGTGGAAAAGAAGAAAATGTGGATAATTGATTTGATAATGGCAGAGGGATAGAAGACGAAGAATTGGAGAAAACCACAAAGTTCAAGATCTGAAAATTGAAATGGAAATATTGTGGTATAAACTGGCTAAGGTGGTCCCATGGTTATCGACATACAAGATGCCATAAAAAGAAGTTGGGTAGCACTTGGAAAATCTGTGCATTGACAAAATTCCCAGCTGCCAATTACAAAGAGATTGTTGGGATCCACACATACATTATGCCAATACATTAGGGCTTCCTAGATTCTTGGGAAGAATTTGATGTTTGTGAAGGTCAACACCAGCTAAAGAACTGGCAGCTGTGATTTCACATTTTTGTGTATATAATAATCTCATTATATCAGAATCGAAACATTACAAATAATATTCCACAAAGTATTTCTTCTAGGTGTTTATTTGTTTATATTCACCTTTATTTGCTCAAACACTGTCTAATGTTAGCAAATCACTCACAGCTTTCTGTATCTAAACTTACTGAATATTTTGCTTTCAGAATCTAGATTGTTTTCTGATGAATGGTCTTGTATTAATAGACTAGCTGAAAGGAAACAAGAACAAAGAGTTTAGGTTTTCTGGGGACAAAAATTAGTAGTTAGCAAAAGAAGTCACTGAACCTGGGATATCATAAAGGTCAAATAGTGTTGTGATGTCATGTGGGAAGCAATACACAATGACTCAATTACACATTACAAATAACAAAGGGGGGGGGCAGAACAGAACGGGATAGATGATAAACATTAGAACATTATGACCCAGAGCCCATGATTTACATGCAAATCCAGTATCGGACTACAAATATGAAAGGGTGGGGTTTGCACTATATCATTTTTGTTCATTATTACAGCTAGCTGCAAATATCTATGGGTGAGGGACTGAATGGTACTGCTGTATATTCTACAATTATAGGAATGTAACTGCATGTTAGTAGTGACATCAAAATTCAATGTGGTGGTACAGATTTCAGAAAATGTTGTGGGACACATATGTAGTCCTCTATTGTTTGGGTTCATAGATTCAAGGTGCTCATAGCTGCTGTCATTTCAAGTATACATGGCATTAGGAAGCCCTTAATAGCAATAACATTTACACTTATATACTGTTTCACAGTGCTTTACAGCCCTCTCTAAGTGGTTTACAGAGTCGGAATATTGCCCACAACAATCTGGGTCCTCGTTTTACCCACCTTGGAAGGATTGAAGGCTGATTAAACCATGAGCCGGTAAAACTGGAACTGCCAAATTGCAGGCAGCCAGCAGTCAACAGAAGTAGCCTGCAGTACTGCATTCTAACCACTGCGCCACCATGGCTTTTATGTGTTGGATTATGTCTTAATATATGTTGGAGCCTACAAATTACACCATCCTACTGAAGATGATAGGAATTTGAAATCTATCATCTGTGGAGATTATCACCAGAATGCCTAGGACAGAAATAAGCTTTGTAATAGTTATGCATCTCTGGTATTCTGTTGAAATCTTTTAGTGATGTTTTTTGTAAAACGATTGGACAAGTGTAGTCCAAATAGGGCATCTGATCTGTTAACAGGGACTGATTGATGCAACAATAATATGACAAAGCTCCACCTTCTACAATTAAAAATTAAGACCCAAATAACTCCAAACATGTTACTTGAACTTAAGCCCCATGCCACAAGGTCATCAACGGAAGCTCTTGTCTAGGTGCCCCAAACAACAAAAGAATATCAGGCTGTAGAAGTTTTCCTCCAAGAAGTGCATCTGGAGGCTACATTATATTTTACATGTGTTGAATGAAGGTTTTTTTCTCCTAAGAATTTTAGGAATTAATCAAGAACTTTTCATTGTTATTTTTTTTTGCTTACATATTCTGTACATGTTTATTTTAGCTTTATTATATGTTACAATGTGTTTTCTCTCTGTGTTTGTGTTTGTGTGTAAGGGAGGGGGAGGGAGGGATGGAGGGGGGGGGAGGCATATAGCTTCTTCATCCTATTTTTCCCATAACAGAAACACTTACCTTAAAGATATCCTGCCTGAATAAGGAATTTCTTTAACATATGAACTCTCAAAAAAGGGTCATAGTTGAAAAGTTAAAAGATAAATAGTGAACCAGATTTGTTTAATCCATCCCAAAAATGACACATTGTAATCAAATGTCAGAGACAATATGACTCCATGGACAGTATGTGTTCTTTAATAGTTAAATTGCTTTTATTTTTGACCTAATGGACAGTTTACTAGGACTGTCAGTAACTATTTCTTTGAGGTCTTATAACCTCATGCTTACGTCACCAGTTATAGTATGTAGCCAAATGGTCTTGCCACTTTTTCCTAAGTTTTTTCAGCCATCAAGGCTTGAATATAGCATTGCTTGAATATAAAAGGCTGGTTTTAATTTTAAGGTGTGTGTGTGTGTGTGTGTGTGTGTGTGTGTATAAAATCTATACATATGCTGCATGTTAGGAGAGGGAATGCCAATTTGCATAGTAGTTAAGGTGCTGACTTAGAAACAAGGTCAGTAGACTGTGAGTTCTAGTCCTGTTTTAGGCATAAAAGCCGGCTGGGTAACCTTGCTCTAATCACTCTCAGCCCACCTCACAGGGTTATTGTTATGGGGAAAATAGGAGGAGGAGGAAGTATGCATATTTTCCACCTTGAGTTACTTATCAAATAATAAAGTCAGGCTAAAAAGAGAATCCTATCTGAATGAGATGGATGGTTTAGAAATATGAAATATAAATAAATAAATTGGTTTGACTAATGAATGTGTAGAATTACTGACATAACATCATCAGCAACCTGAATAATCCTACTTAAGCATTTACAGATGTTTCATTCATTGCCTTCCAATATACAACTTTGACATGATTGTTAAGCATTGTCCAGACAATAGTCTCACATATATAAAGCACGTTTTTTCCAGCTGTACACATTTTTCCATTTCACTTAGATATTTTTGATATGAATCATTCAATATAAGAATTACCTTACTAATATTTTGAGGTTGTATTTTATCCTCATCCAACTTGGTTCCTGTGAGGTAGACTAGACTGAGGAAATATGTATACAAATTTGCAGTTAATACGACTGCAATTGTACTAATTGTGGAGCTGGCATGCTAACATATCTGAAGGATATCAGATTGGGAAAGGCTACATTCTTTTAACCTTAATGTAAGTTTTAGTGAATAAATTATATTATCAAAAAGTCCAGTATGCATTTTAAGGGTATATTCCATTCAAAGCTAAAGTAACTATTAATTTTTATTTTCTTTTAAGAAAAATAAAGTAATACACTTATCAATTATTACTTTATCCCTATAAGAGTATGAGGCTTAAGTTTGTGAGTCCCTTATATGAGTTATTCACATATTCACCCACCAGAAAACATCAATAATATATTCCTTGCATTTCCTGCAGCCAAATAGTTCCTTGGTCTTTTTGGTGTTCATTCATTGGGCTTCTTTAGCTATATACGATTTTACATCCTCAGAGCTCTGAATGCAAAATATGATACCCCGGGCCATAATTTAGGTTTGTTAGTTTGTCTGAGAAATTTTGGATTCATAACAACATTTACAGTCATTTATATGCAATTTAAGAATTTTGTTTCTATGGGTGAAATAGTATTTTGTATTTAATGACTAACGTAATATATATTCTACAATGTATAAGAAAATGCACTTTCTTATGTTCTGAGCAATTTAAATGAAACAAAAATGATGGACTAGAGATGATAATATAATCTTGAGAAAGCTGTCTACAAATACAACGTCTCTCAGTGAAGCAAATGTCATGACATAATTGTGGTTGCAGCTAAAAAGCTAGTTTTGCTTTCTTTGAGCATTTATATTACATAGCATACCATATATCCCCTAGGCCTACTTTCTTTCATCACTAGTATTAATCAGAAGGAACTGTATTAAAATAATTTGGGTGATACAGTTAAGTGATGCTTTAAAAGAAACTTCTCTAAAAGAATTGCTATTCAGACACAATCTCTCATTATAAAGCACTTTTTTTCTTAAATTCAATTTAAAATTGCACATCTTAAATGTGTGCAACCATTTTTTTATTTTTTTGTAGTTTTCTGATGTTTTTGACTGTCAGATCCTTGAGATGGATGAGGAAGAAGATGAAGTTCCTTCTTTAAATTTGCAAGAGTTCTGCATCCAGTTGCTTCCATTGTGATATGCAATATTATGTATAATTGCTTCAACTAAATATGAATACAGTACACAATGCCATGTAAAAATAAATAAAAGGACAGACTATGGAATGATGCAACATAATCCTCTAAAATGTCAACTACAAAAGTATTAATGTGCTATCTGAATCTCATAATGTCCAGGTTTACCTCTTTGAAGATGCCCTTCCAGAATCCAAACTCATTCAAGAATTCAGCTGCTTATTCTTAGCATCCCTGGAAAGATAAGAATGCAAAATAGGAGCTCATACAATGATCTTATACAATAAATTGCCTGTATGAGAAAAGGTCTATCTTCAGATAGATCCGAAAAAAATCAGGGCTTTAAAAATAGGACAAAAATAGGACAAATTGAATTAGAAAAAAATGGCACTGAAATCCAGTCCTATAAAAAAAAAAAGACTTAGAAATTTTTGAGCCATCAGAGACACTCAAATAAGCCAAATTTGAGGATAGAAAGGGAAATGCACTGCCTAGGTTATGTACTAGTCTATGGCCATAATAAAGATTTGATTTGAGGTTTGCCTTCTCAGTTAGATTGTCTGGAAAACACCCATCCTTTCTGTTACAGCCATATAAAAAACATTGAGCATTTCTGTTTCATTGATCAGCTTCTTAATGGTATTAAAACAATATAATATAATGATTCAGATTCAAATTAATTTGCACAACGTAATATCATTTTATCCAAAGTAATTCCCAATAATTCAATAGTAGCTCATGATTAAATCACTGCAGTTATGATAATAACCTTACACCTAAAAATATACTGATTTTAATTTTTCTGTTGACTCAACAGCATATCATGCAGTAATTTAGTATAAAATACCTCTTAAATTAATTGACAGTATATGTGTAGTGCTGTTCAACATAGATGTAAGAAAGAATCTAAAATATAGTATACCTACAATTATTTGCATTTTAATATTAAGAGTGTGTGGCAACACTTAGGCAACAGTAATCCCCAAGCTATATTAGCCACAATGTTTTTGTTAATGGTGAATCAAATGAAAACACAACTCAGAAAAGATTGCATTTCTCATGCAGATATAACAACAAAATAGCTGCCCAAACAGAATTATTACAAATATGAAAAGCATCTAAATATGAATGCAAAATGTGGACTTTGGTTGTACTGTATGACAAATAATTTCTATGCAAACTGGCTAGCTGTAGAAAATTAAGTAATTCTGAAATAATAGGGCAGACTTGTTCTATTTTTAAAGGTATAAAAAATACACAAACCTAAAATATCTTCAAATTTGTTTTTGTCTATTAAGCTAACAATTCCCAAAGTGTTAGAAAAATAAAGAAGCTCTCTATTCTGCCTTTTCAGCTAAGCTTTTCCTGGGAATAAGAACCAGTATACTAAGCAAAACTAGTATTATTGTTGCTCTCAAATCCTTGACTTATCTTTGCAAGAATTTTAGTGTGAGCTCCTGCCTCAGACCCCGAAGGCAACCTATTTCAAGACCTCAGGAAGTAGAGTTATTTTTTTCAGTTTTTCATTACCCTACTTTAAAAAAAAACTAAACTTGAACTAATTGAAAAATCTATTCATGACTTAAAAAAAACAAATTATGGCTTAAATGATTCTGCTTAGCTGAAAAGTACACAGAAAAGGAGAAAAATAGCTCAGGCGTGTTGAAGGACTAAAAATGCACATGAATCAATTATGAAAAAGAGAAGATCTCTTTGAATGGTGAAAAGCTGATTGGAATTAAGATAGGCTTTGTTCATAACTGCAAGGTACAAGTAGAGGACTTTTCAGAAAAACAGAAAAGGGGGATTTGGGAGTGTTTAGCTGCTTAGTACTATAGTGCTTTAGAGCCCATGTGAAAATTTGCTGCTAGCTATTAATCATCATTGTGCCTTTGCAAAGAAGCTGTTACAATGATGGCTATATGTCATTATATTCCCACTGTATGTAACGAATCAGGAAGCTGGGAAAGTTGGATAAGAGCGGCTGGCAAACTTTTTAGTGGTGGAATCTATTTAAATAAATTTACATCACATTTACTACTTTCTTGGGTATGGGAATCATGCTTTAAAATGAAACAATATGCTGTGTTCATGGGCCCTGATCTTTTATTCTCCTGTCTCTGAGCCCACTCTCCAGGTCAGCCTTTGCCAGCACTGACAGCATGCTTTTCTCATAGCCTTCTCATAGCCTTTGGTTGCTTTCAAGTTCAATTTAGCACAATAAAGTTGTTATGCATGACAGTTTCGAAAGCAGAATAGGTGGTGTCTAAGCCTGCTGTGTCGCTACAAAGTGGGCTCATGCTCTGCCAGCCAGCTCAGTTACTGAAGCCTTGCTGGTGGGACACTGCAGTGGACCTCCAGACGTTCCCATCCTGACCAAAGCAATTAGCTTCAAACTGCAAGAAGCCACAGGGTCACACTCCTGTTCAGCGAGGCTCCATCATTTAATGTGCTGCAATAGATTTTAGAGCTGAGTTGATTTATTCTGTTGTGCTCCCTTTTTAGTGGTCTTTATACAGATGTGTAAAAGGATCAAGGAAAAATTTTAAGTCACCGATGGTTCAAGGGGGATGTTGTTGTTGTTGTTACTATTTGGTTGTTTAAAAGAAGAAATCTAAGACTTTGTTTTGCATTCCTTTTACAAAGGAATGGACTTGAAACATGTCAGCCTTAATTCCATTAGGCTGATATGGCTAAAAGAGAACCCCGAGGTGCCAAGAGTGGGACGTGAAAAGAAGTGTCTCTTTTAGTAAGCTTCACCAAGCTGATAATAAAAAAGCCTTAAAATATAAAAGTTGTCAAATCAGTTTCTATTACTGATTTCACATATGTACGTAAACATTTTTAAAAAATGCATCCACTTTAATTTAAAATCAACTAATTTTAATTAAAGGGAATATCATTTCAGATATCGCCATTTCCATAAAGTAAAAGAAACAAATTGGACATAACTCCTGAAACATTTTAACAAAGTGAATCCCATCAGTATACTTCTAACAAAAAGCATGCTTTGAAGGACTGATATTAAGGAGAAAACAGAAACCTCTTAGTTCCCATTTGAAATTTATATAATAGTGTTAATATGCAAGTGTATTACTAATTTAATATCAATAATTTTTCTATCAAATAGGATATGGACGGTAACTAAACAGACTTCTTTACTTTTAACTATTGTTTTTAAACCTTGAGAGATTAGCTGCCATGAGTTCACTTTTGAGAAGTAAAGATAGAATTTTTTTTTAAAAAAAAAATACCACCAAAAGATTAAGATAAGCGTTAAAAGAAGTTGCAAGATAGACTAGAGGTTTTAGAGTGACAATTTCTCCAGCTGCCTATGTACTTTGAATAATTGATCCTTCCTGGCTGGTCTTATTCGCTTAATTCTCTCTGAGCAAGCAATATCTGATTATTGTATAAGTAAAAAAAAATAACATAATGCTAATAATTATAATAATCTTTGCGAGTTGTGCAAAACTCAGATGTTCACTATAAATATTTAACTCCATGAACTTTTGGTTTACTTTAATGGGGCAAAACCAGCATACATTTGGTATGCAAAGTAACATTTTGGGAAATGTAATAATATTGTAGAGGCCACTAGGCTGGGGAAACTAATCTGGTATGTATTGAAAACTGGACTGTATATTATAGCATTTATTTTCTACCAATGATAAAGAGGTTGCTCCTGAATAATGTAGAAGATTAAAAATAGCATATTCAGATAGCAAAATAGAAGAAGCATGCATATATATTGTGCATAAGAAGACCATATTAATCAACAGCATTATGCTTGTTTGAGCAAGTAAGCTATTTCCACAATTTGAAAGACAGTCAAATATACAGCTAAATACACCTCAATAGAATATGTTGCAAATCCTCTTTCAAAATGGCTCCTTTGGTTATTTACAAAAGTAGCTGTTAGAGGAGATTGATAAAGCATCATTTTGCCAAAATATTAACTGATACTTCTTGGTTTCCACTCCCAAAGACTATTATCTATTATCCCTAATTATTCCTGGAATCAAATTGGTACCCATAGGTATTCCACACGGGGAATTTCAGAGGTAGGGGGTACATGAAAATCACAGTGTTTTTAGTGGGTACATAACACTAATCTTACCCTAATGTATTGATATTAACAACAATTAAATCTTGTGGAAGTTGAACCCTAAATTTAGTCTGGATGAAAAGATTATTTATATTTTTAAAGACAATCAGAAACTGTCATTAAAAGGTTTAATTTTGAAGAACATTATCTACTTTACTTACAAATGAAAATCCAGGCTAATGAGTTACAAATTCTGCCCCCAAAGTTTAATTTCTATAATTCCAGTTAGTTGATCTTTCTCCAGTAATATTGACGTTAATGGATTTACTAGAAATAAATATAAGGTTGCTCAGTGCCTAAGACGCTGAACTTGTTGATCAGAAAGGTCAGCAGTTTAGCCGTTTGAATCCCTCATGCCATGTAATGGAGTGAGCGCCCCTTACTTGTCCCAGCTTCTGCTAACCTTACAGTTTGAAAGCATGTAAAAAGGCAAGTAGAAAAATAGGAACCACTTTGGTGGGAAGGTAACAGTGCTCCAGGCGCCTTTGGCGTCTAGTCATAGTAGCCACATGACCATGGACCCGTCTTTTGACAGTGCTGGCTTTTCAGCTTTGAAAAAGAGATGAACACCACCCCCTAGAGTCAGGAACAATAGCACATATGTGCGAGGGGAACCATTACCTTTATCTTAGAAAGAAATATAATCATAATCCATCAAGGATATCCTATTGTTTAGACTTCCTATATAACCACAGAAAACCATGTTCATCCTATATGGGATTATTCTATTATTCGTCCTCACTACTGTTGACTTTAATCATTCATGATTTAAAACATGACTCCTTTGCTACCTCCAGATGTCTAGGAAATATTAGCCTATGCAAGACCATCCACCGAAGGGGCTTAAAAATGAAGTTTATGATCAAAGTGTATTTTTAATATGGGTCATGAAAAGGGGCAAGGCTTTGATTTTATAAGCATGGCCACATGTTCTGAACCCCCCCTCTGGCCTGTGAGTAACGCAGACACAGGCTTGGCTATTTGCCACTCTTTAACCACAGGAATTACAACTCCATTGGCTGAAAGCCCAGACAACACTCTCATGCAAGAAGGATTGCCAGCAATCCAAACCAAACAGAATGGAAATACAAAACAGACCAGACAAGAGTTCCTCAAGACTGTTACA